TGCTAAATTAGGGACGGCTAGCGCAGATAGCCCTCGTGTAGCTTTGCGCGAAATTCAAAAACAAACATGCAAAGTAATTTTGATTTTAAGATTAAAAATACTTTTCTTTATTTCCTTGATTTCTGTAACATCATAAATAAATATAAAACTTTTGTTTTAGAAAAACTTTATATATTATCTGTTATTTTCTCTACCCTAACTATACATGGTTGGTTGATTTGACCAACTTCATAATCATTATAAAAAATTAGGAAAAAATAATCTAAATTACCCTCATTTTTCTAGAATGATTGAAAATTGTAACAGAAAACCATAATTGTATATTCTAAATAGGTTAAATTTTGTAACATTATACATTTATTTATATTTATTAATTTTTTGTTTTATTTACCTATAATGATATCTCAGCAAATAGAAAAGGTAGGAGGTTCTTATTTTATGTTCCAGCTTGTCAGTATTGATAATTCTGATACAGTTACTTACCTCTACTCACAGTTACAACTGTTCTCAATTTGACTGCCATGTAATGTGCAAATTTTCATTCGCCACTAACCTTGAACTCTCACCTAATTCCATGCGTATACCACATGGTTCAGCTGCATTTAAGCAAATTAACATGCAACAACCCTCCACCAATAGGAATGTGAAACACCCTCTTATTACAGCTGACTCTCTATGCAGTTGAACTCAATTTTGCATGACAGTGTTAAGAACTAGTGCTTGATTTCAGATATTTTGTTTTTCTTTAGTGCATTTTGTCCAAGGCTCTCCGTCGTTCTCATGAAGGTTTTTTGGCAGAAGCCCAACCCTCCTACTCATGAACATATCCAGATTGTCTTCATCTCCCTTTTTGCTCCACACTTGGTTACTGTGTTGCTGGAATCTCTTGTTCGAGGTTTACGTTGTTCTCTATGTTTCACCTACAAGGATCACATTTATCAATTCCAAGCTCTTCCTTTCTGGCTGGTATTAGCACCCTGTGATTTTTGTCGAGTAGTCCGATCATTTGCCCAATTCTTTCATTCTCGCGGGCTCAAGTTCCATCTGCCTCCATCCTTTGCAGAGTCTTCCTGATAAGGAGGGTTAGTTTTTCTAGGTGGAGAAGTCTATTATCCACCCCACTCAATATCTTGTTCACCTGTGGTAGTTTTTCATCTCGCATCTCAGTCGAGCGCAACCTTTTCCTCTTTGCCTGTGATCCATAAGAGTTTTTAGTTCAGAGGGCACTGTAAGCACCTTCTTTCCCTACACAAGAGGTTCTGTCTCTTTTGGGGACTTGGGCTTTACTGGAGGCTCTTATCCCTCTGGGCTAAGCCCATACGTGTTTCTTTTAGTGGGTGCTACAAGTTCATTGGCACCTCATCAGGCACCCTCTGGATTTATAGATATCCTTTCCTGCTTCCTTTCAGTCTAACTGCTTTTGATGGTTAGACAGGAACAGCACGACAGTGGAGGTACCTAGTACTTCTACCCATTTGGATGGCCATGTCTACACAGATGCTTCGTTGTCAGGATGGGGTGTGTGCTGCAATATATTGTGATGGTCAATCCCACTATTCACTGTTAAAAGAGTAGTTCAAGAGTTGGCAGTGGGTGGTGATGACTAGTTGCCTTCCTTGCCTTTCTCTGCTAATTTAGGGATGGCTAGTGCTGATAGCCCTCGTTTGTTAGTTTATCACATACCAGGTGCCATCATTCTTGTCATGGTTCATCTGTCTCATTCTGTCCTGACAAGATTCAACCCATAGAATGGTCTCTCGACCACAGGTATTCCGATGGCTATGTTTTGAATTGGATACTTCTCAACTGGGTGCATTTCCCTTTCAGTTGAATGCCAAGCTTCCTCTCTTTTAGTCCTCAGTTATACATTCTTTGACTTTGGTCATGGATGCATTAAGCCAGGATTGGAAGGACCTTTCCTTTATGCATTCCCTAGCATCCTTCTTCTACTCTGAGTAATTCCCACTTGGGTCTTACGTGTAGCTCTTTTCTGGATGGCTCAACTGTGGTTTCTGCTCTTGTCCCATCTCCAGGAACAAACTCCATTACTTTTCCTGGTCTCTCCTTGAGCATCCTCACGTAAGGGTGCTTCATCCAAATGATCCCACACTCTGGCTTCACATGTAGCTTTTATCTGGTCCCATGCCAGGGGATTGGAATTATCCACATGTGTAGCATCCTTGTTGTCTCACACTGTCCATTCCTCATCCATATCTGTGTATCAATGTAAGTGGAGAATGTTCTGTTGTTAGTCTCTTCAGCATGGATTCTCCTTTTCCTCTCTTTCTCTTCCTCAGATATCTGTGTTTACATGGTTGTGTGACAAGGGTCTGTCCTTTTCAACCATTGTAGGCTATAGGGTGGCCCTGTAATCTTCCTTCGTTTTTGCTCTGTGTTATCATCTCCTGTTATTTCCCTTCCTTCTGTATCCCATAGTTACTCCAGCTCTGATCTGGTTCCTTTCCTGTATCCGGTCTGTGCTTTACTCTGTTACATTTCACATACAGCACCTATTCCATGGCTTTTACTCCCATTTGTTTATCCATTGGAATCCATCTGTTTCTCGGGATATATCTCCCATACCCTAACCAATTGGGTTCATCAGGTTATGCGTATTGTGTCTTCTTTCCTTTCTCATGATCATTGTTAGTTGTTCTCTGTATTGTCCTATCTGATCTGTCACCTCCCATTGTCCCTGGGTGCCCATTTCAGTCATTCTTTGGAGGATGTTATCCAGGCTGGCATGTGGACTACTTCCTACACCTTGGTGTCACATTACTTGCACTATCTGGCCATTTTCTGCTGAGCTGGATATCGTCTCCCCCCTCCCCTACTACTCTGAGTGGGTAAGTTATTTTTTTTCATGGGCCTACTTAACATGTTATGGATCCTGCTCTGTGGCAAATGGTGCCTGTTCAGGTATACTGATATCCAATATCTGCACTGTGAGGTCTATCACGCTCAGTGTTGAGATGGCGTGTGCCACAAGACTGCTTGCAGGTGGATAAAGTTCCACTCAGTCGAGAGTAGGGTGGTGGCTTTCAGCCTGTATAAAAGATGTGACTATCCTTCTGCCATGGGTCTGATGTTTTATTCCAGTTGCTGCTGATCTGGACTGGATTTTTCTATCTATTTTGCAGTTCTGTCCTCAGGCTGGGAACCTTCATTCCTACCACACTCTGGATGTCAGTTCCTGGGCAACTGGTTTTGGTTGGAGTTGGAGTAGGTTGGTGGCTTTCAGACTGTGTAAAAGGTGTGACTATCCTTCTGCCATGGGTATGATGTTTTATTTCAATTGCTGCTGATCTGGACTTTTCTGTCTATTTTGCAGTTCTGCACTCAGGCTGGGAACCCTCACTCCTACCACTGTCTGGATGTCAGTTTCTTGGCAACTGGCTTTGGTTGGAGTTGGACCAACAAAAGTCCTCACATGTGAGTGGGCTGGGAGCTTTCTCTTACAGCAAACTGGATGTTACATCCCATGCTGTTTGGTTTTGACTGGAATTGACCCTCCACATTGCATTTCCACCTTCCTGACATCATCAAGTTGTACATTGCCAGGGTTTGTTGTTCCAGGTTGTGTTAGATTTGCACACATGTTGGTTTAGGTTCTTAGTGCCATTGTTCTGGATTGGAGTTGACCTTCCTGTTAAGGTCCAAATTGCCCCAGCCACTCTACACATTTTCCTCTTCCTTTTGGATTTGCGATGGATCACTTGTTCTGCCATTTGTTTGCAACACAAAGCCAGTTTGCTACACTTTGATGAAGAGTATACCTGGTTCAGATGTGGTGCAGTCTCCCATGGGTTTGTTTCCTTTACATAGAGGTGGAACATTCCATGTGTGCTCTTCAGATGGTTTTGAAGGGCTTTAGTCTAGGTAATTTTACATCAGTCCCTCCACCTGCTTAATGTGGGATTTTAGCTGTAACTGGAGATAAGTAATTGTATCAGAAGTTCATATTTTCCTACACTTACTTCCTCCCCACTTCTGGTGTTTTGTTTTTCATGTCTAATCATGAACTGAAAATTGGATTCAACTGCATAGAGGGAGTCAGCTGTAATAGGAGGGTTTGTCGCACTCCTAGCTGGAGGGTTGTCACATGCTCATTTGCATGCTTAAATGCAGCTAAACCATGTTGTAAACACATGGAGTTAGGTGGGAGTACAAGGCTAGTGGCAAGTGAAAATTTGCGCACTAGAAGACTGTCAGGTTGAGAATAGCTGTAACTGTGAGAAGAGGTAAATATCTACCAGAAATATATTTTAAGTATAGGAAAATATTACCTTGAGTTTCTAATTTGCTAGACTTTACATTTTATGATGCCTACAATACAATCTGAGCAAAAGCAGGATACAGTGTGCCATGTGACACACAAACAATTTAGCTATTTTTTTATATATTTTTTGGAATTATGAAATTGAATAATGTATAGTACTAAAATTTTAATTATAAACTACAATTTGATTCCAAATTTATGGACATATATTCATAAAATAGTAGTTTAATAAAATTTTGAATATAAGTCTAAAACATGATGGCATGCTCTCTGACTCTTACCCCTATAGAAAGGGTTAATGTGATTAACCTTCATATTCAAGTGAAGCAGTAGCACTCATAATTAATATGGTTATAGTTTTGGATTGATAGGAAGAAGTTAAAAGAAATTAAGGTTTTCATTGGATAAGGAAAAGAGTAAGTTCAAATTTCACAAGTGATTTTGTGGCTGTTTCAACTTGATTTAGATACCTCATTATCATTGCAATATGAGGTTTATATTGGAAGGCTGTATGCTGGCATTAAGTTAGATTATTCACAGCACAAAATACAGCAGTGTCAAGTAACACTACTAATACTGAAAGAAATCCCAAAACCTGTTCTGTTTACTTTTAAAAGGGTTTAGCTTTCTGAATTTAGAAGTTATTCAAATGAAAATTTTAAATCATACTGCTTGAAAAATACCACTTATTAACTCTCTCGCTGTGGGCTTGGTCAAATCAGCTGATTCGGTGACCCCAAATTGACCTTTATAGTTTCCATACTATAACTTCCAATTTGTTTTGTGTATACTCACATAATTTTGCAAACTTTCAGTAATCATCAAGTTTCATCATTTGCAAACAAAAAATCAGAATATTTAATGAAGTATTTTCACTAAAACTTTTTTCCTTGAATATATGGAGCCAAAGTATTGGCTGCTCTGAGTGGAAAGTGATTTTTCACGTTAAGATTAAAAATACATAACTTCATTTCAAAAACCTCAAATTTTATTTTCCTTAATCTCTAAAACCTAAATATGTTTCAAATGTTTTTTCAGCAAAACTTTATATTTTATCTGTTATTCTCTCTAAATAACTATTATAAAAATATTCAAAATAAATTGAAATACCTTTTCTTTCTTTCTAGAATGGCTTCAAATTGTAACATGAAACTACATTTGTTTATCCTAAATAGCTTTAAACTTGTAAGAGTATACATATGTTGTTTATATATGAATTTTATTGTCTTGTTGCCCTTTGAACCCTGTGTAACTAATATTCACACTATACAAGTTGTAAATCACTTGGCAAATGTATATCTCAAGTTACGCTATTGAATTATATTATGCACAAGCTACTTGAGAGTGTATCTTATGAACATTTATTATTGTTTATTTTACCTAATCTAAAACGTTTCTAATTTTACATTTTATTTACTTTTATAAGAATAAGTAAAGAATACATATGAAAAAAACAATAAATAAAGTACTTACCCAAGTTTTTTTTTTTTTTTTTTCTGTTGATTGTCGATGACACTTAAACCCTACTTTTTTATACTAATGGTACTACTGTTCTAAATGAATTTTTATTTAATTAAGTGATGTACCAAAGACTCCAGAATAATAACATGTAAAAGCAGACAATGTTCCATAACTATCACAATTTTTCTGGTTCTAACTATCTCAAAAGGGCTATTAAAAGTTCAGAAAAGCTTGTTGATGTGTTTTGTGTGGGAATAAAATTTTAACTGGAAGCCAAATAGACAATTCTCTGTATAGAAACAAATAAATACAATACATCATTTGATAGATTAAAATCTTGGCTTTCTATTGGTTATGAATAATATAGTATTGAACATCAGAGAGAACTGTTGGAAGTTTCTGAAAGAGAGAATGTGACAGATGGGTGTGGCAAGAGTGGTCTGATTTTCTATTTGATGGCTCTGTAACTAAATAAGATTGAAGGCTATAAAAATTATGCTTTTGCCTGAGTGATGACAACATTATAATGAGTAATTTACATTAGATTTCGTACTTCTTGGAGGGGTGGTAAATAAATTAGAGAAGAGTGGATGCTTAAAGAGAAAATGTCACAATTTTCATACTAGAGGAAATTCAGGATTTTGTTTCAATGTTGCTCTTTAAAATTAAGAACTGAAAACTTGTATACTATTAAAATTTGGATTATTAGCTATTTTTGTATGCCAAACATATTCATATACCATGATAAGAAAGTAGTTTAATTTAATTTTGAACGTAACTCACTAGAATCTTGTGACATGCAGAAAAAGATGCTTGTTGCAAAAGTGTTAATGAAAAACTATGTATCAGAATATCAAAAGATATTCAATAACTCCAAGTGATTTCAATAAATTTTATTGTTCTGTAGGAACCTATGAGAAATCAGTTCCAGAATGAATCTGATAGATTGTCTATACAACACAAACAGTCCAGGTGAGAGTATACATATAAAAAATGTTAGTTTTCATTAATCTGACCAGCAAGTTTTGCAATGCATCTTTAATTAACTAATAAATATGATGTGAACTTTTTGTTAAAGTATTTCTGGTTAGGATAATTTTTATTCTTTATATTCATAAAAATATACTGTAAATTCAAACTTAAATAGGGATATTTTTGAGAAGTGTTAATATGTCCTTTGACTACATATATTTTTTAAAGTTTTCAGTTTTTCTTTAAGGAATGATAATTTTATTCTTCTTGTATCAAAATACTAGTGACATGAACTGCCAGATTTAAACAACTGTTATGCTAAAATGAAAAAGTTTTCTCTAAACATATTTTAAATGTCAGAAATGTTTTAAACTTTTTTAGTAATAATGTGCAATATTTCTGGAAAATTTTGGAAGTTAAGAAAAAAAAGGTTTGTTTATGTTAGGTTTTCCATTTTCAAAGTGGAACTTTAATATTTTGGAAATTACATTAAGTGTCTTATTTATAACTTTAGGTACAGTTTTTATATTTTCATATAGTATCCCCCCTCTTCCTTTATACTGGAAAGTGAGATTTAACCATTCATACCATAAAGTACATCATTTCTAATTATTCATGGCAAGAAATGCATCTGTACAATTCATCAAGCTATTATCTTTCAATTTTTTTCATGTACATTATCTGCTTAAAGAGAGGTGTTGATATTCTGTTCTGTTAGATTCCCACTAATTTCTTTAGAAATTTTTTGGCCAACTGCAGTATTGTGAATTTTTGATTTCATGAAATACTCTTTGATAATAGTATTTTGATTTTCTCGCAATTAATGAATTTGAAGTATGTATACTTGTTTATGAAAAACTTATAATAAACTACTAACTATTTATCTTTGTCTATACATAAAAAAAACAACATTTTGACCGGGTATAGCAAGTTGCAGTTGTATGCGATTTATTGACGGATAAAAGTTGAATATGAAAACTATCCACAGTAAAATTTCAAATAACTTGTTCAAAAACTGTATTTCAAATCACATGTAGGACAAACAAATCAATCTAGGCTTCAATCTACAGTATAGGAATGGTAAAATACTTCTAGTAAAAGAGGTATCTGTGAAATTGAAATTCACACATTGGTAGTACAGTATTGCATATCAGATTGAACTTTTATTTAAAGCCTCACATAGGAAATGACACTATAACATGAAAATAGATATTGGTGCTTAAGGCCACAATATTTTACGTCTAAAACTACTATTCTGTCTGTAGATAGTTGTGGAAAATTAGTTGCTTTTTATGAAATAGAACTGAGAGAGAGAGAGAAAAAGAAGAAATAAGAACAGACCATTAAGGGTGATAAGTAAAATTTATCTTCAGAAGTTGATAATTCCAGCTGTAATTGTCTCACACCTATCTGAATAGGATAATGAAACACAAGTTTCTAGGTCATGTATTCTGTTTAAGAGAAGGACGATTGTAAATTACCTTACAAATTTCATTAATGTAGGATATCACCCAGCTTGTCCTCTATGTGTGTGATGGTGTTGTTGGTCAAGTTTACGTATATTTGAACGTATGTATATAAATGCAAAGGAAAGTTGTCAATAAGATTAAATAAATTACTGTTACCAATTTATTTAGTACTTTTATACAGTATTTCATTATGTTAGCTGGTTGTACAGGTAGAAAGTTAGAAGTGATTTCATATTAAAACTTTATAGTAAACCTTTAGAAATTATACGATGAATGGAAAATTGAAGGCCATAATCTTGAAAATTTTTTTAAGGTGTCATAAAAAGCTGCTTTATACACAGTACGGTACAAATTACACAAAAGGTAATGAGTGTTACTTGTAATATGATGTATGTTTTAGTAACACAAAAGTAGATAGAAAAAACATATAAAAAGAGGTTACACATGTTTATAAGTTGTAATACAAGAAGACTAGGGGGAAGCTTGTGCTTCATGCATGAAGCATTTTTTAGCTTATGGTATTTTTTATTTGAATACACAAAGTTTATAAAATGTAAATGGGCTGTTGTGTATTTAAAGCAATTGAAACAGTTAAGTGATCTGCCTAGACTACTCACGTATCTGATAGCCTTGTGGGACTTCTCAGTGGCTGCGAGATTAAACTTATTTCACAACATCTGATACCCACCAAACACTTCTGGTACAAAAGACACTTTGAGCCAAATGGTTTGGTCAAAAATGACAAACCAATTGATTTATATAGTAAGAGACACCAGATCTAATAAAACTTTCAAAACCTTGGTATAAGAAGCAGGTATTAAAACTCAGCAGACTGATAGTACTGGTATTCTATAAACAAATGAAGAAATTCACAAACAGAACCTTAACAGATAAACACTGCTGTCTGAGATGGGGCTTTGAGGGATGACTGATCCGTTTCCCAAATACCTTACCATTTGCAATGTGCAGTAATATCTACACCCACCACTCCCTTATGCATATGGTGATGTCGTTTATACTTCCTTACTCTTAATTTCATTTTTGTATAGTTTAATGAAATTTAAATAGTCTTCCTATGCATGTGCACACATTAATCTTTTAATTATATAGATGTGGTAGTCTGAGTTTAATAAGTGTTTCTGTGAAATATTAAAGTATTGCAAAGCTGAGCTGAATCAATTCATATGATACTCCTATGCATTGTTTGATGTAAATGTAACAATTTATTGAAGTTTGCATTGGTAAAATCTTTTTAGTTTTTCTGAGTAGTCTTCTTGTGCAGTTTGTGTTTTTTAATACTTTTGATTCTGTAATATATGTTTCATAATGCATCAGTTTTAATACCAAAATGTATATGTGTATATTTGTTTTTGCATTTCTCATCACAGTCAACAGATGTTTTTGAGGCCTAACTTCTCCAATCCACAGTTTCGACAGAAGAGGTCATCTACAGAGCGATTTCATAATCAAAATGCTATTCCCACCAAGCAACCTCGTATGGTGCTTAAAAAACTATCAAAGGTTTGAGTGTTAAACTATAATTTTACTAGATATTTATGACTTAACTGCCTCCATTATGTCTTTATGATATCAAACCATTTCTCCTTCTGCATTAGTTTAAACTTTTGTTGGTCCTTTGATATCGATTAATATTTTAATTTGTTAGTTTTAATTAATTAATTCTTTTGTACTCTTTTTAACTTTTAAGAACTTTATCTTTCATAAATACAGAAGAAGGAAACTAAGTTGGATATACTATTAAGTTGACCATCAGGTACATTTGATATCTTGTTATCAGTGTTACTTTCTGTGCAGTTGAGTGATCACGTTTATATAATGGCAGCTACAGATGTTACAAACAAGTTGATGGTAAAAGATTTTAAAGAAAAATTACGAATACCGAGAGCTAAAACAAGATAAAATAAAAATGAGTTATTGGAAAGATAGTATTATAAGGCTTAAATTATTATGCTTGTGTTTAACATTAATATATGGGTACAGTACTATGTGAAGTAAGTAGCTTTATGTCTTATTGATATTAGACTACTATTTCTAACTTGATAACTAAAACAACTTGACATGGTAACTTAAGACATTGTTCTTATACTGCCTTTTTAAAGATAAAAATTAGCAACTTGATTCAGCTATAAACTGTAATGGTCTGTATTGGTGTTTTATATAATAGTGTACCAAAAGAACAGGTTAGTCTCGGTATGTTAACTGTTTTTAACATATTGTTGTGGTAATTGAATTGATAAAATATCTGTGTCTGGTGAAAAGACTGAAATTTTGCATAAAATGTTTTTTTTTATTTCTTTAAATACAATTATGTATATTATATATGATTTTTATTATATGTATTTATTAGTTTAAGAATATTTTTTGAAACATCATGAACTTAAGTCCAGTATAACTTAGTTTCAAAATTATTAAGTTATTTATTTTTGCATAAGTATTATTAAATTACTTAATACAGTAAAAATTATTTTTCAGTAGAAAGTGTATAAAGTGAGACTAGTATTTGATGATATTATCAATGATAACCTGCAGGCAACTGTAATACAGTTTTAATCAATCAGTGCTCTGAATGTGTGATTTTGAATAAAAAGAATTGATAATCTACTTATAAATGATATTTAAGCAAAAATTCTTTAATAAAAAATCCATTGAGCAAATTTTAGCATGTTTGCGTGGTGTCTTTCCAATTTGAATTATATGTTGCTATTTCATTTTCACTGTGTGAAATATTATCTCAGGATTTCTTTTTTGGTGTAGTCTGGCATTGTGGAATACAAAAACATTTTACTTCTCACAAATTTCTTGCTTTCGTTAACTCTTCCTTATTGCATTTATCCACCATTATTTCAAGTGATCCTTATTTGTGCAGGTGCTGCAGTCTGCTTTAAAGCGACCTATAATCTCAGTGGTGGTTATATAGTGCTTCTCCACAAATGATTGCCTCTTGAAGCACTTTTTAAGCACTTCCCTGCTTGGTTTATGTCCACGGAGTCATCATGGAGTTAGAAAATCCGAATTGAAAAGGGCAGTGGTTTTAGTGGAATTCATGGTCTTTATGTTGCAAAGTTCTAGTAAAGAGGTATAATGGAGTTTTGATGGTTGTGGCTGAAATACATCTTATGATCAGTCTCACAGAAGTGTTTTGCATGTTTTCAACCTTATTTAGCTGTGTAGCACTCATATTGATCATTGGTAATGCATAATCCAGAATAGAGCAGATAAGACTTTGGTGGAGCATAAGGAGATGATGTTTTTTTCAGCACTGTATTGAATGACATAATGCACAAGCTACTTGCAAGCATTCCTTGTGGAAACATTTTTTATTATTAGTTTTCATTATTTTACCTGTTCTAACCTTATCTAACTTAATATGTTTACAGTTTTTATATTTTAGTTACAATTATAACAATAAATGAAAAATATGCACAAAAATAAGTTTAATAATTATGTTTGGCCTATTGTTTTCTTGCTGTCAACTTGCTGATGGAATTTAAGCTTACTATTTTGTAATGATGGTACTAGCTCAATAAATAATTTTTAATTATTTGAAGAATGCATGCAAGGAAACATAATAACAGGCACAAAGCAAATAATGTCCTATAATTATAATTTAACTGGCATTCTGACTAAATCATAAGTACCTTAAAATAATTCCTTTAGTTACTCGTTTGGAACTTCCCAATTGCAACTTTCAATCTGTGGGTGGAATAACTAAAAATCTCTACTGAGAATAATGTAGCATTTTATGTCACTTGGTAATTTAAAACATTGTTTTCCTGTTGGTTATAAATGATGTAATAGAAAACGTCGGAGAAAAGAGAGGATTTGATATTTAAGTGTGGCAGGTGGGTCTGATTTTCTAGTTTATGTCTCTGTAAACAAAGAAGATTGAAGTCTATAAAAATTTAACTTGGCCTTAGTAATATCTGTACTATAATGAGTAATTTAAATTTATGGTTCTTGTGCCAACCATTAACTTGTGGAAGAGTACCAGAATGAAGTGCTTGAGAGATTGGCCTTGTGCATTGCACAATTTAATTCATGTCTTGTGCTTTGGAACCTGATTCCCTGTAGAGCACAGGTTCTATTCCTTGAAGTTATGCCTTATCTGCATGAACTCAGCCTGTGTGTGTGCTTTCTATACTTTATCATTGTCACTGTTCCATCAGTATGAAGTGTTCCTTTGCAGAAGTTATTGCCTTGGCATTGCTCAATTGTTGAATGATGCTTTAGGGTATGAATGCTTCCAGAAACTTGGCATCCCTGTATGCACTTTTAGATTGCTTTATACCTCTTTGTTACAGTCATCATGCACACCTTATCTATGAGGTGAACACTGCTAATATTATGTCACCTATGCCAGGTATAGATAACATCAAAAGAGGTTTAGCAAAAGCAAGGTTTATGCAGTAGTGCCTGTCACTTTGGAGCTCAAAAATTTTGTTGATCCACCTTCATTTAGCAATATATAGTTGGTAGTTTTACTATAAAGAGCAGAATGTAAATCTTTGCTGTTAGTATTTTTACCTATATTCTCTGTGAGGTAGGTGGCAATGAAGTTTCCTACAGTTAGATATATAAGAGTGCTGTTTTACAGGTCAGGCAGGAATTCCAGTCTTCAACATGATGTACTGTGTTACCGTTCATGTACACATTGGTGATTAGAATATGTGTGGGTAACTTCACGTGAGCAATCTGGATGGCTTGTAACTTACAGTGGTGATTGTTGTCAAGATGAACTGCAATGGCCATACCAGCCTCTGGGTCAATATGTGGTATGAAGTTAAAGTCAGTTAGAGTGAACTCCTCAGGATTTGAAAGTTTACTCTTTTGAAGGAATCATAAATTTAGAAAGCTTCTCAAAGAAGTATATACTTCCCCTGACATTGCAGTAACCTATTATAATGTGAGACTGGCAGTGTCTGGTACAATTTTTATGCATGTATCATTTACCAACTCAGTTTTTAGGCTTTGGTTTCCCTGTTTTTCTCCTGCTGGTAAAGGTAAAGGAGCATAAGTTAGGAGACCTTATTAGTTGTTCACTTTCCTCTTCAGATATGGTATACTTTGAAGCATTGCCTAAACAGAGTTCCAACGAGTATGTATTTCCTACTGTAAGCAATGTCTTTTTATAATCTGTGGTATGTCTACTTAGTGGTCTTCAGTAGGATTTTGTTCGAAGGCTCTTCCATTTCCAATGGAAAAATCAGCTTCATTTACATTTTGAACTGTATCCAGGTATATTGCCATTAAGTTTTCCTCTTCTCTCTCCTTTGCTTGTTTTGAAAGTTGAACAAGCACTACATGATCATATTGGTTCTTTACTTCTTCATGCAAAAACTTTCCCTTATAATGAAATACGTGAACAACCTCTACCACCTTTTTACGCTGACTTTCTAGTTCTTTAACAGTACAGTTCTTGTATATAATAATCCATGTTCTCTAGTATGTGTAGTATGTGAATTGTTAGTTTTTGAAACCATTAGACCTACTGTCCATAAGGCACTGCCTAAAATTAAATCTGCATGATAACCCTAATGATTTCAGCAAAAATTGTGCTATACTGCTTGTACTCGTTCGACTGTATAATAGAAAGTATGTTAAATAGGCAGCAACTGATGTATTCTCAAGACAAATGGTTAATTATTATTACTCATGGCATGGTTCTTCAATGTCGGTAAGAGTGTTTCATGATTATTTTTATTATTTTGTGCCCTCTGTTTCATAGAATGATAGAGCAGTTGAAATTTTTAACACAAACTGACTTAGCTGTAAAAATATTCAACTGATGCAGTTGATCTTGTCAGAATTTTTTATTTTTTTCCATTTTGACTCAGTTTGACTTTTATAAATTCTGATCAATAATTCAACTTAAGTAGATTTCAGAGACTACTATTTGTGATGAAAACCTTGGTTGTTTTGCAAGAACTTGTACTTGGGGGTATTAGAAATTTACAAAAATAAAACCAATCTACAAGAAAGAACAAAATGAAAACATACAAATTTTCAGGTTTATTATTTATAGCAATACAGTGTTTATTCAATACTGACACTCACTACTGAGTGTATTTATTATTTTGAAATGGTTTCACATATCTGGCATTCCACATTCTCTTAACTGATAATATGCAATTTCAGATATTGAAACTTCAGTGCTAAGAAGATGCTCTTACTTTACTCTGTTTGATGTTCATTTCAATATTATTATGTTTTATCAGTTTCAGACTGATATATTTATGCAATTAAGTCAAATATTTTGCTCTAGTAACTAATTTTTTATATATTTTTTTTAAAGTGAAAATTGAAGTCAGCCAGAATTGTAACCCATGACTTTTTTCAACAGGCATGTAATTAGCTAATTAAGATACTCTGCCTAAAATAGTCAGTTAATTCTGTTTTTCATTTCACATTAATAAAATGGAATTTATTAGGACTTTTGTGCTATGTCATACAAAAATTTTAACTTTGTGCAATTGATTTCTCTTCCTAATCCTTTTGAGACAGGTCAGGGGCGAAAGGCCACGTCATCTCGTTTGTTGACTCGTATTCCAAATGTTATTGAACTACTATTTCATGAATTTATGTCTATAACTTTGGTATCAAACTGAAGATAATAATTCAAATTTTAGTATTATACCTTCTCAATTTAAAAGTAAAAATTAAAAAACACAGTTAAACATAGATTTTTGTGTGTCACATGGTATGTTGAATGCAGCACTGGTTCAAATCAGATGTTTGTGAAGTCAAAATACTAAGTCTATAGTTTAATATGAATTAAAAACTCAAATTACTGATATTGACAAGCTAGAATATAATAATAAGAGCCTCTAATTATTTCAGTTTGCTAAGATATTGCTCATGTAATAAATCAAACACAGTGGTACCACACCCACCTCTTTCCATTTTTTGGAAAAGCTCCCTTATATACACTTACTTTTATATATGACATGAATAACCAATCGGAAGCTCGGAATGTCCCACTAGTGGCTTTCTCAGCCATTTTAAAAGGCTTGGTGCCATTTCTTTCTTTTGAACCAATATTTAAACAAGGTAGGATGTGTCTTTAGTCTGCTTGAAATTTAATATTTTTTAGACTAAAATACATCTTAGTTACTAAGCTTGATAAGTTATAGTGGAATTCTATGGTATTAATGTAGTATTTATGATTTTTTAGTTATTCAAATGTATCTAAATTACCTAAAAAAATAATTTGTTTCATATCCTCCACGTGCAAATTTTTTAACTAGAAGAGATAATTCTTTGCTTTATTTCTTTAGTTACTGTTCTATGTTTTAAGAAAAATAAGTTTAAGAACTTATTTCAAAATAGCAAGAATCTCTCTCTCTATATAAATAATGTATAATAATTGAAATGTGACTGTATTTATCAAAACACTAGTCTACTGAAATAGCCAAAACAAGTTACTTTGTACAGACCAAAGGTCAGTTTTGTGTCATTGTAACTTCTGTATTGCTAGCCAGGCATGGGTGAAAGATCAATACAATAAAAATAATAAATATATACAAATATATAATGTTATGAGAATTAAGCTATATCGTCTAAACATCAATGTTTTCATGTTATAATTTGTTGTCATTCTAGAATGAAAAAAGCATAATTTATATATATTTCTTAATTTTTTATGGTGGTTGTGAGATTGGCCAAATCTACCGAACCCGTACAGAGATTAATTACTGAAAATAACAGATAAAATATAAAATTTTTTCTTAAGAAACATTGGATAACTATCTGGACATTTTAAAGATTTTGCATGTGAAATTTAAAACATTTTCTGATGACTAAAAGTATTTTTAATCTTAAAATGAATATTACTTTGCATGATAGATAGGCAACATGTGGAAAGATAAAAAAGACATGAGAAAAACATTGCTTTACAAACCTTAAGATTTAATAAAAAAAATTATATTTTGCGTATGAAAGCATTGTAATGTTTACTGATAATGTACCAAATTTAGTTAACATTTGCTTACTAATTTAAAAGTTATAGCATGAAAACTATAACAACGAGGTCATTCCCAGAGACCGAGCCCATGCTGAAAGAGTTAAACTTCCTTTATTAACTCTGTAGGATGTCGTTCTTCCTTACAATTCTCTTAGTAAATTTACAGGTTGTTTACTTTGTAAAAGTCCTTTATTAACTGCTTTTTTAATGTTTTTGTAATTGCTTTTAATTATTATTATTTTGAAGTTATTTTTTTCTGCATGGTTAGTAGTATTCAGTGTTTTCAAAATTGTATAATACATAATTCAAACTTCTGTTTTCTTTGATTATAAAAAATACTGTATTTCATTCGTATTTATTTTTCATTAGATTTTGGTTTATAATTATTTGTTAAATTCCTTTTGCATTTTACAATTCCAATCTGAAATAGTGCCTGATTCTTGTCATGCCATAGATCTTGCTTTCATTACCTGTGGATGACCTATTTAGCTGTTGTATAGGCTATAATAACCATTTTGATCAGACCTGTAAATATAAAGTTAAAAAAATGACAAAAAGCAGCTGAGATCCAGACATTGATTTTAATTCATTTTAGGCTGGAAAAGTGGTAAAACAGCACAGTATGAAAAAAAATACTGATTTGAAACATTTTTTTAAACTGAGTAATGTAAAAGTAGGTTTTCAAGAAGGAAAATTGATTACTACTATTTCAGCTACATTTATGTAGTGATAGATTGTTGGTAATGCTGGGCTCATTGTTTATAGCTAAAACTCTTACATTGCTAGTAGGTTCATAACTAGCTGTTAGCAACAGTTCTGTATGTAATAATATTTACTTTTAACTATAATTTTTCATTATACCCAAAATTCAGTAATATAGGATCAAAAAAGTTCCAGAATAGTATATTTACTATGATAATATAATAAATATTAATTATGATGAAAATTCAAAATATAAGATTACCCACAATTGTGCTTAGTAAAACTCTCCTTATTTCCATTGTACCATTTGATTAAGGTTTCCCACAATTGTACTACTTTTATAAACTGAATATCATCTCTTTTTCCTTAACCTATAGGCATGGTCTGTTGGTTGAGGAGCTTGACTCGCAATCTGAGGGTCGCGGGTTCAAATCCCTGTCACTGAACATGCTCGCCCTTTCAGCTGTAGGGGCATTATATTGTGTTGGTCAATCCCACTTTTTGTTGGTAAAAGAGTAGCCCAAGAGTTGGCAGTGGGTTGTGGTGACTAGCTGTCTTTCAAAAATTAGGGATCACTAATGTATATAGCCCTCATATAGCTTTGCATAAAATTCCAAACATTAATCTATATATATGAAAGATTTGAATCTTTCCCATTTCATTTTGTTAAGCTAGTTGAAAAATTCAATTTTTTTGGTTTTTGTACTTAAAAATGTATTATATTTACAGTACAAGCTTAAACATTTTTAGATTTTATATTCCATACTTGCTCCTTTGCTCCATTTATTCAGTCCATATCATCTGTGGATGACTTATGAAACTACTTTCTGCTATTAACAAAGATTGGTAGTTCTTCCCAACAAGTGAATATTATTCTTAATTTAGATCCACAACCTGTATCTTTCTGCATGTGGTTAGTGTGACTTTTTTTTTTTTAATAATTGATTTAATATCTTTTTCAGTCCTGTTTTCAAGGTGATTGCCAGTGAGTGGAGATTTTAAGATTTGTAAATTATTTTAGAAGTTGTTTGGTGTGTGTGTGTGTTAGCAAAATAAATGAAGGAAATCCTTGGATTTTTTTGGAAGCTAGAAAAACAATGTATATTAGTAATTTTCTTTCAATGACATTCACTTTGGTACTTGTTTGTTTTGGGCCACTGGCATGTTAGCTAAATCTCAGCCTGTTCATATTTCCAATTTCATTATGATTATTTTTGAACCTGTCACATCTTTGTTTTTTTCTTCAAATAGGATTGTCAGAATTCTTCAATGCATAATTCTGTATGTTTTCAAAAGTGTTTGTTAGTTCTGGATCTATGCTCTTAGGTTTATGTTTTTTTATATCTATTTAAAGAATTATTATCAGTTGATAGTACAAAATAATATGTATTTGTTTTTTATAGGTATGTCTATAATAGATTTACACTGTGTTTGAAATGTGACTTGTCTGTTGTGTGGTGAGTTTTGTACATATACCTTTCAACCAACTCGGAGAAGAGCTAATATTAAGTTTAAAGCAAAAACTGTGTGTATGAGAAATGAGAACAACACCTTATGTGGTAATACCTCAGATATTAATGAGTTTTATACATGTACCTTTTAGCCAATTCAAAAAAGAGGAACTAATACAAACTTTACAGCCAAAACTACCTGTATAAAAAACAATGCCTTGTGTGGTAATACATAACAAATATTAATCAGACAGTTATAGAGTAGTAGTTTATAATATGATAATTTCTCCTACACTTAGGTGTTAATGTTGTGGGTGAAATCTTTGTATTTTTTTCTGTTTTGGCTGAAGGTAAAAAGAAAAACACTCAAGGTAAATTTAACTAAAATTCTTCACCAAAGTTCTTGGAGTTAGATATTATTTATACATAAGTTCTTCATTATTTTGTTGATAACTTAATCTGGTTAGTTTTTTTACTAAAACCTTTTTTGTACATTGGATGTTGTATCTGATTATCTTGTTACTTGGTTCACATTTCAGTCTGAGTTACCACAAAAAAAACAACCTGTTGTAAATCCAAACATCAAAGAAGTTCCAATTGTAGAAAATCTTCCTGTGGAAGAACCAGTGAAGAACACACTTCCACCAGAGGTTGAAGAGGTATGCAAATATGGGGTTCATATTGATTTTTGGGGTATATTGATTTGTAACATATAGTATTTTCACTTTTTATTCATGTTGGATTAATTTCATTAATTTATGGGTTATATTCTAAATTATTTTAGTTCTGACCTGTTAGTTAGCTTCCTAAGTTCTAAATAATACATAGGATGATATGGGTTTTGATGTTAGAGAGTACTTAGAAGAGAATTTTTATAACAAAGCTGTGGTTTCTCTCTTTTCATATTTTCTGTATTATGAACCATGACAGTGGTTCATAACAGGGATTGCCCGGGAATTTCACAAAAATTCTAATAAAGCATATGAGGAAAAACCATCTTAAAAATCAGACTTATTCTTGAAACAACACTTAAGACCTTCCATCTCAATGGCTAAGGTTGCTAAAATATTGATGATAGCAAAAAAAAATTGATTTTTTAATTGTTAGACAAAATTCAAAGTTCACCCATTTGTTCTTCATATTATTATTATTATTATTATTATTCATATTATTCTTGTTTCACAAGCCTACAGAAAAAACTATAATGAATATTCTATTCAAACCTGGGCAAACCTACTAAAACTCCTGCTGAGGCCATTGGACTATTTTTATGTTGATTCTTGAAAGAGGAGAGATTTTATCATTTTTTCATCACTACTTGCCAATTTTCTCTATGAAGCCATTCAAGCACTGAAGCATACTGCAAACACGACTAGGTATACTGCGCCAAAAATCTATGCATAGCTACTAAGCAAACTTCTCTAAAATCTTCTAAGTTCTTCTTCACTACCAACATAAACTCTTCAAAGCCATTCAAGCATTGCATAAATGTAGAAGCCATTTATTTGACCACAATTATACTAGTCGGAAATGCTCCATTTTATTAGAGTAAACAATGTATATATTTATAAGTGTCTCCAGCCTTATTATTATTGATTATAGTTTACAAGCTGCTAAAGAAAAAATGGTTATGAATATTTTACTGAAACCTGAACAGTAGTAATGAATGCAGGTTTGAGTATGTCATAGGGTAGTTTTAAGTTTAATTCAAGCACCATCGTATTTACACCCTGAAGAATTTCTCTAAAGTACTTTACTTTCTGGCATTGAAAAAATCTGGTGTTTTACTAATGTGCATTAATTTGAAATTGATGCAGTGAGGATTAATCATTTCTCAAATTTGCATCGAGTTCACTGTTGTGCTTGTATCTTCATGGTTTCCTGTGACTATTTCAGTGAGTTTTCCAACAGTAGATGATCACCATAGTAAATTTCTCTACTCTTGTGAGTGGTGCTTTTACATACTAATTTCTGTACTTCACTGAAATTGTGAGTGCATATTTTAGTATTACTTTATTATTATTCATATTTTTGTTTTACAAACCTACAGCAAAATTGGCTGAGTATTTTGCACCAAAACTTAGAGAGATGAAATGTTGCGATTGTCCATGAATTATTTAAAAAGTTGATTATATTGGCTATATATGCATAATATATGCAATGTTGTTGTGTCTTCCTTTATACTCGATGCTTGTTAAATGGATATTTACATGAAGCCATAGACACAAAACCACCTGCCTCAGTAAATAATGATCAGGTAGAAAAAAAGCCAATGCAGCAGTAAACTGTTGAAAAACATGTAACATCCAACTGAATGCATATGCATATATGTAGCTTAAATTTATTTTCCATAAATGGACATAAAGAAATTAAGAAACAAGTAATTAAAAATTGTTAATTTAAAAAGGCGAATAGGTATTGTCAAAAAGATACAGAATCAAAATGCAAAATTTATATTTTCAAGCCTACAACTAGGGACTCTAAAAAAAAAAGTAAACAAGCTAGGCTGGAAATAGTGTCTAAATTATTTTCTCAAACTACAAATCTTTATTTTGACTCCACCAAAATTGATAAGTAACTGTAGACATGGAATAGGAAATGCCTTTTTGTAAACAATCCATTCTTAACTTCGTCTTATGTTTATAACAGTTTAAATAAAATCTTTTAACAAGAAATAAGAACAGTGATAACAAATGTTCTCAGTTTGATTTTTGACAAGTGAAGCACAGTATGGAAGGGACTGTTTGTAAACTTTGAATAATCTTCTTTTATGACAACAGGATGAAGAAACTAAGGAGCTACGGAAGAAAATTGAAGAGCAAAAGAAGAAACGGGAGGAGTTTCTTAAAAAGAAGGAAGAGCGCCGAAGATTACAGGCTGCAGAAAGATTAAAAGAAGTTCAGAAACGACGAGAACAAGAAGTTCAAAATAAAGATGATGTAGCTGATGTAGGTGGAACTGTAGGAACAGGTAACATAAAGTTGCAGAACTTTATATTTTTCAGAATGCTTACATTTAGAGGGTATTTTTGATACAGCCAGTAGCATGTCTCTCAAATGCTGGTATAAAAAATATTTAGAATAACAATATTTAAAACATACACGGTTACTAACTTTCTTATAGCTCCCTATGGTCACTCAGATATTTATTTATTTGAAAGTGCTATTCAGTAGCTTATGTTTTCTTAAAAAATTGATTCATAGAAATTGTTTGCAAGTTACATTTAGGGGAACTTTTTACATAAAAATTTGTTGAGTGTTTTGATTCAAATACTGTCAATGTTTACTTAGTCAATGCAAACCTTTCCATTTTGTAAAGGGAGATAAATATAGGTAACAAAGCGAAATTAAAGAATAGATTACAAGGCAACTTTTAACTTGTCATAGTCCATGCCATCTTCTGACATCATGCCTGGATATACTTGTTGGCCTTTTCCTGTGAGAAATAGGCTGAGACAGACTGCCCAGTCATTTTTGCCATAGTTCTGACTTTGGGCGAATCTTTCTAGGAAAACATTCATGTCGTCTTTCTGTTCATCTGACTCCATTGTCATTCCTGTGTCATTCTTCTTTCTGTTGGGTAAGCTTTGCTATCTCAGTTTGTGCTTCTGTTCTCTCTATTTCCAGTCTCTCCTTTTCCTGTTTTTCTTCTTTCAGGCTTTTTTTTCTTTTTCTTCTTTTAGTCTTTCTTCCTCTCTTCTCTCTGTAAATCTTGTTGTTGTTTAACAAACTTTAGTAGATCACTATCTTTTAGTCCAAGCCACTCAGTCGACATGGTTATATAGCGGGATTGTAATCTCAACTATTTTCGCAACCACTGCAGTTGTGTGTATATAGGCTTACTTCTGCTGTTGTCTGCGTCTTCTTCTATGGCCATTTATTACTGTATAATACTGGCTGGCTCGCCAAATGTCAGGTTTTTATAGGGGGCTGAGATTCTTTACAGTAGGTGTCTGTGACTTATTGATGATAAATTTCAACAATAAATGGACAGCACACAATTCACTTGTTTTAAAATAATGTATATTCAAAACAAGTCAAACGTATGTTCAAAAATTTGCTACACTATTGTTTACCACAGATGAATCTAGAGGTTTAAATAATTCTCTTTTTAATCAAAGATCCATACAGGCTGGTTCAATTACTTTAGAACCCAATTGACAAGACAAATTACTTATTTTCTCTTTTGTTATCACGATACAATCAGTGATAAATTTACTTATGTTACCCCGTGGGTTACCAAAGTTGTATCCAGAGCTTTAGATAATTATCTTTTTTGTCAAAAGTCCACACAGGCTGGTTCAATTACTTTAGAGCCCAATTGACAAGATAAATTCTTCTTCTCTTTATCTCTGTTATTACAATACAAACCATGAAACTCTCACTTTATAAATTGTCTTTGCAATGGCAAGCTATGCCAAACCTGTAAGGTCATGCAGGAAACACACAAATTTTCGGATAAAGACAACCAAAAGCAGTTCAAAATCACTAAACCCATATCCTGCTCTACAAAAGAACATTATTTACTTAATCCAATGCCAAAAATGCAACTTCGAATATGGATATCAAACCAAAACAACCATACGGGAATATTTTAATAACCACAAATCAACAATCAAAACGAAGAACATCCGCTCACAAAACACTTTAACATGCCTGGACACTCTCTTGAAGACACTAAACTGATGGGTATAGAGATAAATTTTACATCTAACAGAAACATGGAAATTAAAGAAGCTTACTGGATAGCACTATTAAATACTGTAATGCCAAATGGCATCAATCTTGATCCCAGGATTGTCAACCTTCGTATGTCTTTCAAAAGATTTTTAAAAGTAGATTCATAATTAAACTTACTTTATATTATTAGTATTATTCATTCTTTAATTTCTCTATTTTGGTATTATTTACTATATATTGCATCACATTATCATTTTCTCTATTTCCCACCACCTTTTGCTGTTATTTTTTTTTTTATTTTGTCTTCATAAAAATTGATTAACATGTCTTATAACTATTATTACACTTAAGTCTTTTATGTACTGTACACACCTCTTTGGCACAAACTAAACCTGACACTAACAACTCTAGGTTATTATTGGCTAGTTCTCAAGGCCAACTCATATTGAACATCCGGTTTATGTAACATCGACATCTGTACTTATATGTTTCATCACACTCATGAAACATAACCTTTTATTCTCCTGAAAAAGAATAGTGAACTATTAAAAAGTGCTCGAGTTTTGGGTCTTGTTTGAAGACTTTTATAAGTTGTTCATTACGGCTAAACTGACAGTCACGCAGTCGAACATTACTTTCACTAACTTAACTTCTTCTCTGTTTCTGCACGTAATTGTAACATGTGACAGAAAAATATAGAAATATCTAGCTCTTTAGTAACTACAATATTAAACAGAATGAGAAAGACTTAGAAGCTTTGAGTAAGATAAATATTCCAATAGCAAATGTGAGAGAGAATTATTGACATTTTATGAAAAGAAGGGTGTGGTATGTGAGTTTGACTTTTTTTTTCAGTAGAGCAAGAAAATTGGAAGTTCTAAATTTGTATTCTGGCTTGTCATTATCTATAGTATGTGTTTTTAATTAGTTAGATGCTTAGAACATCATATAAGGGTGGAAATAAAATGTCCAATGGGCAATTCAGAGTTCAGATGCTTCATGTGATACAGAGAAATGAAGATTCAGAATTTATTTAAATACTTGTTTTGAAATTAAGAAATTAAAACTTAGATAATATAAGTAAATGAATTACGAAGTAAGGTTTGATACCAAGCTTATTAACTTACATTGATCGTAAAATTGTTTAATTAAAATTTTGATTGTATTTCTATAAAAAAGTTGTTACATGCAAACTTTGTCTCACCCGAATCCAGAGAGTTATATTTGCATAATAGTGAAGAGGATGGGAAGTACAGTACAAGTAGTAATGAAGAAATACTGGTAAATAAATTCTCTGGCATGTTTGGCACAAGTGGTGGAATATATATATATATATATGTATCTGGTGCTTACATCTCTCTTTTATTCCATTGAAATGTTTATGATACATCTGTTTTAGGGAAAATTCATAGTATCTGTACATTTACCTGAATTTTCATTTGAACATGAAATGCAGTGTTTCCTCCATGCAAGTTTATGACTTGCGTGGATCATATTCGTGTTAATCAGGTTCAAAATATTTGGATGTCACTGATTAAAGTTACTGATTGATACGCTTGTTGGGGACATGTGATGTGATATGAAATGATTAATCTTGATGAACCATGTTCAAGCTATGCATTTAAAATACCTAAATTTGATTTTCTTGTTAAGATTAGAAAAATACTTATTTCATTTTGCAGTTTTCAAATATCGTTTGCATAACATATAGAAATTCCTAAATAAATATCAGACTTTTTTCCACAAAAATTTGCATTTTATCTTTTATTTTTCTACCTTAATACTGTATAAAGACTTGACCCATTTGACTGACCTTATAACCACCACAAAAACAACAACAACAAAGTAAATCTCAATCTTCCTTTTTTTCTTTTTAGAATGACTGCATATTGGTACAGACAATTACACACTATTTATTCTTACAGTCAAAGCCTATACATTTAATATCTCCTAGTCATTTAGATTTATTGCTTCACTACCACTTAGTATAGTGCCAAAACAAAGCAAAGGAAAGCTTTATGTAAACACAACATCGAGCTACCAGCATGCATGGTCAATTTACAACATGCTGTGTACATGGAATGTGCTCATGCTATAAAGTATTTGTTTTATTGGATTTTTCATTTAATTTTTATCTAACCTAATAAGTTTCTAATTTTACATTTTAGTCATTTTTATAACAATAAATGAAAAACCTACATAAAAAACAGGAAATTTAGTACTTTCATATGAATTTTGTTCTTTTTTGCTCTTGAAGTTTTGATGAAAGTAACCCTTTGTTTTGTAGAGTTATTACTAATACTTTTTAATTTATATTTATTTTAAGTATGAATTTAGAACACAAAATATAAGCATGCAACAACAACAAAAAAGTCCTCACACTATTATGATTTAACTGGCTTTCTAACTAAGCTATATGTGCATTAAAATATTTTTCTAACCTAATTGATATGATCTCAGCAATAGCCAACTGTGATATTGACACAGAATAATTTGCTTTTGGGCCTTGCTCATACTCTTCTGGGCCCATTTACATTAGTTTTGTCATTTGCCTGGAGCTAAGAACTTGATGGCAGACAGTCTTTCTTGGCCAGTCCACATTCTACCAACAGAGTAGTCTCTACACCCCCAGGTCTTTTGTTAGGTTTGCTTTTGGTTACCTCTCATAGACACCTTTGCCACCCTTCTCTACTTCAGGATTCCTCTCTTCTTATCTCCTGTTCCTCTACCTAATATCCCCTCTCTCTTGCTTGACCTTCATACATCCCTTTTTCATCGAGGGATATCTTCCTTGCATCTTCATGTGTGGGATTTGTCCAGTCTGTTGCCCATAGAGCCGGACTCTTCAATCGTGTAGTGCTCTTCTTGTCACATTCTTATTGCCCTTCCACTGTGTCTGTCTATCAATGAAAGTGGTAGATCTTTCGTTGTTGGTTCATTTGCCACTCCTTTACACCTTGTCATCTTACTCTGAACCACCTTTCTGCTTTTTTACCTGACTGTTCATCTGGAGTTTGTCAGTATTCGCCTTTGCTGGTTATCAGGTGGCCTTGTCCATCGCATTTTGCCTTTCCTGATAGCACAGGACATCTATTCCCTAGCCCTCTCCATTCTGTTTCACTCCTTTGTTCTTTTCTGACCTCATTGCCAAACTCCCATGCCTGACTGGTAACTTAATGTGGTTTTGTACACTCTCATGCGTGCCCCATTCGAGCCATTGGCTTCTTGCTTTTTTGTATCATTATTCTCTCCAGACATATTTCCCCTGTTTTCTTGCCTGTGAATACTGTC